GAGGGCGGTAGACCTGGCGCAAATGGCCCGAATCGCTGCCGGTCAAATATCCACTCCTCACAGTGCTGCTTGACGCTGATGCGAGCGGACACTTCGTCACGGGCTATCGCGATGACCGATAGAAACGACGACGAGATGAAGTGCTGCCACGAACGAACGTGGCCACTACGTGGTCATCGACCAACCACGGGCCGACGATTCGCAGCGGTGACGCAGCTGCACCTCGTTTCAAACTAATAACTCCATATGACCAATTACGCTGCCCGTACTGTCCGCCATATTTCATACATTCCGTCATAAACCAGACGAACGATACTATGCATTCATACGACGAGGAATTTGCTACTCTCCAGTTAATTGGACTTTCATAAAGCCATTTACTGGTGGTAAGTGAATCTGGAACAGGCGGCGAAGACTGCTCATATAACAGAGTATTCAGCGGTTATGAGACACATTATATCAACGATCTACTTTCAGTGAGGACGATGCTTCACCTTGACTGGTGTGGTGACACAATACCGAAGAGGCAGGCTTCGACCGGAGGTTCCGGTGGAGGAATTGTTATTCTCTGAGTCACAAACTCCGAAAACCCTTTGCTGCAAGTAACTTCAGACTTCACACTACTTAGTGGATGGAATGTTGGAATTCGAGCCGAGAAACCCCAGGTTTGACCCCCGGTCGAGGACAGTGGTTTTTCTTCATACCGAGGGCGCAAAGAAATAGGAGACTACACACTATCAACATAGCACATAGATACTATCAACTTTGCCTTTAAAATAAGGCTCAACTTCAAGCTAACGGCGTAGAAGTAGAAATCAGAGCCTCACCGTTTGTTTCCCGGAAAGAAAGGCTCCAGACATGGTCCCACCGTTAAAGTAACAGGAAGACCGACTTTACAAATTCTACAAATTTTCCTTTCCTTCCATTTTAGAGAGGAACAGGAATCCTTTAAACCTATCAATAAATGAATCTATTCGCGCAGCAGCTAACAATGACGTCATATGGGATGTATATTCTTCACACTACGAAGTAAGCTAAAGGTGGGTTGGTCTGACCGAAGTCGTTAGAGTGACATGGCCAAGGTCACAATCACCATTAAACCTGAAGATCTGCCCAGTATTCCTTCTTTTACCGTAGAATTGCAATAGGTAATTTTCCAGTTATTCTATTGTTGATATGACGAGTTGTAGTGCAATGAAACGAACCGCAATTTTAACTTCTGACTTCACTCAAGAGAAGCCGGAGAAGGATTATCACCTCCTGTATGGAATTGAGAAGTGCTTAAAGATCGGCTTGCTTGTATTTTCACAAAAAATTTTATTCATACCTTCATATTCAAAAAATTGATTCGTCAAGGTGCCAAATAGCGCAACAGTAGATGCAGCCGAGAATTTAGTATTCGGTACTTTTGTCAGTGATTATTCTGAAACAGCACAATAAACGGTGTATTTATATACAACGCAAATAATTTTGTCAGTCGGATGATTGACGAGTAAGGATTCTTCGCCCATGTAAAACAGACCTTCCCAGATTGTCAATAAGCCCTTTCCGTATCGTAGGCCTTCTCGATTCACACGTACGAGCTGCTGCAGACAACCAGAGGAACCTTCGAAGTACGCTCACCAGCTTTCCTTAAAGAATGTCGGTAAGACACCAACTGAAGCGCAGTTACTGGTCTATCATTCGACTGACCACGTTGCGCTGTGTACAAATGAATGAACCGTGTTTTGTTCTGTTTTCAACAGTAGAAGAGTAACCCATCATCTCCTTAAGCCTAACCCTTGGTTCGAAACAGTTAAGCGCTTATTGACATAAATGACGGTACAAATGGAAAGAGGTTGTGGCCGTTTATCAACTGACCGGAAGTTGAGGATTCGCTGCACATCGCATCGGCTTACTAATTCTATATGGCGAATGTTCTCTTCGTAGCGTCTGAGATATTTCACGCATTTGTTCGTTATATTGTGACACTGTAGTACGTCGGCTCAAGAAAGGAGACTACAACGAGTGCTCCGATTATCAGGTATATTGCCTCATTGCGCCTCCCGGTAAAAGTCTACTTAAAGGTGCCAGAGAGGCGGTGCTGCGGAAAAAGTGACTCCAAGATACGAGTCATATCTGACCAGATAATTCAGAAATCGATGAAGTTCGTTCACCTGGTTTACATGTGCTTCGTGGACTAGAAAAAGCCTATTACCGAACCCCGCGCAACAGTCTGTGG